TGTAAGCTAAGCTAAAATTATATAATTCAGTTAATGTTGCAGATTGCGTTGTTCCTTAATCTTCGAATTGGATCCGGCTTATTATTTTTTGCAGACTGTTAGAGCAATTTTATAAAAGTAAGCTTGAACTTTCGATTATGTCATATAGAATTTCTGATATATATTTACTAATATGTAAAGGATCTACAAAGCGAAAGTATGTTTCGAAGTCCATTAAACAAAAAGTGGAATTGCTGCAAAAAATGGATAAAGGCATATCCTTTGTTTATCTAACCATTCCGAAATCTGTTTATCAATTTCACGCTGCTCTGCGTATGTGTGTGTGTGGTGGGGGGTGAAACGCTGCGGTGCGCAATGAACTGAAAGTTGATCTGTCAGCACTATCCTTATCTTCAGGGCAGATGTTTTTATTTTATTTGGCTTATAATTCCTTACTAAATGTAGTATTTCATCTCGATGTACTCATCTTTGATATGATTTAAATCAAATTCCTCGTCATTATAATTCGCTTCTGATAGCGAAGAATGTGAGGTTATTGAAAATGAAAAAGTTTCGATTGACAAATTGGTCGGTATTCTCGACACAGCAATTATAGGACTTGAACAGCGGAACTTTGTAACTGAACAAGAAATTATGTCTGTTTATAGAATTAAAGAGAAAGTATTATCACATGAAACGAAGCAACTTAAACAACTTGCATTGAAAGAAATGTTTAATAAAGTAAACAAATAAATATTAAGCTTTTTTTGATAAATTTTGATACCCTTTAGATCATAATTGTTCTTTATTTCATAAATTACGGTTTCACATTTTTAATTTTATAATTTCTGCATGCCATCTTACCAGATTTAAACTGATGATCGATAATCCGGAATCGCCGAAGTCCCAACGAGTCCGGATTAACGACTTTTGACTGTATTGGAAAATATCATGTCTATGTATAGAGCAATGGTGCCATAAACTCCTTTTGACTTGGCACTTAACTACGAATAGTGTTTTCTTTTGAAATGCATTAACAATGCTTTAATTAACTACTCATATCATTCCATTTTCCTCACAAATTTTGGACCTTTTCCATTATGGGACCAACATACATCAAACAATTTTCTCTAGAAAGATATATTTGCCAATTTGATATTTTCAGTACTTTCATAACCAGTTCATTTTGACCACGGTAAAATTTTTTAGAAAAGAAATTTGTCTTTTAGTCAGTTTCCGATCAGAAAAAGAATAAAACAGATTACCATACTTTAAAAAAAAAAAAATCATAATACTTAGTTCGAAAACAAGAATATGGTCATAAGAGATAATAACATGTTTAATAGGCAACACTGGAACATGCATCTTTCTGTATAAAATCTTATAAAATATCACATACTTTAATATGAGCTATTGTTTTGTACATAAAGTTTGCAAAAATTTTCTGCCACAATTAAGTAATTAATGTCCCAGAATCCACAACAATTCTTAAATTAATTATCCTACGTACACATTGTAATAGTACTAACAAACATTATTCTCATAGTGAAAACATAGGTTTTTCTAAAATTATCTGAACATGTTTCCATTGTTGACCAAAATTCTCGTATGTACAATGAATTTCACAGTTTCTTCACTTTTATTTCCTGTTTCTTCACTTTAATACAGTTCAACAAATAATTTGTGTTTCATATGTTAAATAAAAAACTCCATTTTAACATTAATAAAACTTCCATTTTAAGCATTTAGAGAGAGATTTTGGATCATAAAAATTCTTCTCAGCAACTATTCAATAATAAAATCTATGCTCCTGGTCTTTCCATTAATGTTCATTAAGTGGCTGAGGGCAGCTTGTTCTGGAAGATTTCATAATGAAGGGATTGTCTGCCTATAGATGGGTATAGCTTGAATAAGAGAGAACATCCTCCACAGAAGCATCCCTCCTAATGTATATAGGCCCACCAGCAGCTGAATGACTGGTATTTTGGTCTGGGGTTCAAACCCTGGAAAACAGGCTGCCTGCATGGGCATTTTTGTGGTCTATTCCATGTATAACAAGACAGTTTTCTTAGAAAGACAAAGGCATCCTTCCCCTTAGTCTTTGGGTGCTTTGCCATAGTTAAAACGAACCAAACCTAATGCATGTAGCATCACTAGCTTAATTATAATCGATTAATCAATGAAATCAGTCTAATATTCACAATTTTTTTAATCAAATGGTGTTTTTCCTGAAAAAAAGCTTATTTATGCTTGAGAAGAAATTTTTCAGCTAATTCCAATATAAATATTATTGGCTGCGAGAACTTATTTTTTTAATGTCATCTGCTCGCTTGACAATATAAGAATAATTAAAACATTAACCCCTTGGCCTACACGATATCTGCCAATTGCATGAGCTATAGTAAACAAGAAAGTCGGTCCCGCGCCGTTCCATTCAACTGTTCAGCCGTGTACCCGAACTGGTGCAAAATGTATACTTTTCATGACATATATATTTTAGTATAACAAAAGGAATTGTGAAATAATAAACAATGCTTAGGTACAAATAGTAATTTTAAGACGTCTAGGGTGTAATCATAATCAATTGACCAGTTGACAAAATAATTGCATGATGGGTATAAGAGTTTTTTTTTTTTTTTTTTAATTCTTTATACGAAATTATATTTGAAACGTGTGAACGTAACGAAGCTTTACAGCGGAACTAAAGTAACAGATCATCCAGTTTCGTCAGAAACCACTGAAAAAAATCAAAATACTGATGTTACAATCAAAGGAAAAATAGACGTATAATACCAATTGCTTGTTCTAATAATAATACGTGGCATTTTATGAACAAATTCCTCACCACGAGTCAGACTTGTGGCTTTAAGACACAAATTGTTTACCACAAGTCAGAGTCGTGGCTTTTGTTTATGGCACATATTCTTTACCACGAGTCAGACATGTGGTTATAGCCAAAGAGTTAACTAGATTTAATGATAGTTCATATTTACTTTTACTTTGCCTCATCAGTCTGCTTAAGGTACCTCAATGTCCTTTCGTAATGTGACAAATGATTTCCACTAATTTTTATTCACAGTAATGAACAAGTTTTCCACTCCTGGTCGTATTAATTTTGACATTTTAATTTAACATATGTGCATTCATGGATCAATAACATAAACGATGTGTTCGTTATCGTTTATGTTTCAATCTTTCCGACACTATTTCCTAAAATTTTAGCAAGAAATATATTTTGATATCGATAACCTTAGAATCAATGCAAGAAAACAAACTTTTTCAAATTCTTCTACTTCAAAATCATTTATATTAGAATCAGAATAGTTTGTTTTAAATCTCCGACAAAAACACTCAAAATTTTAAACTTTCTTTTTTATTTCCTTAAATTAAATTACGTCTAAAGGGACTCTTTTTAACATTTTGTGCATTACCTTTAATTTATTAAATATCGTTCTTTGCACTTAAACCATAAAATTCGGTTCAATAGCAATGTCGCAAAATAACTTTAAAATGAGCATATATATAGAATTTCTGATACACAGTTCCGTGCGCTGGAGATAAAAAGGTTTCCCCCCCCCTCCCGTACAGTGTTGCCATTGCTCGCTTTTAAATCGTTGAGTTTGTTACTAAAAAATTCATTGAAGTTTTATAAAATATGAAATCGATCATAAAACAGCATCCATGATATAATGGAGGACTCTAACATTTGGTGGCAACATTTTGAAAAGTGATGAAATGCAAAATCACAAAACGAAAACAGCCCTTCAGGGACAAAGCTCCTTTGGACTAACAAGAAATTTTTTTTTTTTTACTCTTTCAGTATGCACAACAGAATAATTAAAAAAAATATCTCACCTTGTTTATTAACATTCCAGTTGACAAAGAACGAGACAAACTAATGGGCCAGTTTGATTAATCCTTTAGAATTATCTTGTTTGTTGGAAAATTTTATTTTAAGAAAAGGAGCAATGTCTAATAATGAAGGGCATTTCATTTTCATTCATACTTACTTATTCTTTGAATTCTTCTAAAGGGCCTTCATGTGTTACATCCGCTGCAAAATTCTCAGCAGTTGCCTCGCTGCCTGTGCTCAGTTAGTGGACTTTGGCAAACTTGAAGTAGAAGCAGTATTAAGTCAAATTAATGAGAAATAACAGAATTACTAATGTCAGCAGTATGATATTTTCTTATGGGTCTCGTTACACAAAGTGTAAACTAGTTTCATAATGTTACTTTCCATAATAAATTTTAATGTTAGAGAATAATATAATATACAATTCTTCTGATATTCTTTGATGTATTCTGAAATTAAAAGTTAAAAATCTTAATTTGTTTTTTTAAATAAATTTCTGAATTTTCATAGCTAATTTGCCACCTCTTCCATTTGTTCACCTAAGGCAAGTTGCCTCACCTTTCTCCAAACTCTGATCATGATTTAAAACTTTTGATGAACTTAAGTTATATTAAACATTGAGTGCTAGTTGTAAAAGCTTCTTGTGGAATAATTATTAAGTAGTATTTTTTGCTGTTGACTAAGTGTATGTAGTTTATGTAATACATGTTCGTTGTATTACCATTTATATTTATTTATAGAAGTGAATTTTGAAGGCCCATAATTACATATATTCCAATATAAAAACAAACACCTAATCCTTTCTTTCTAAAAATTTTATTGTTTACTTTTAACAGCAATTTTTTTTTTTTTAAATTTCCTTTTATAGTGAAAAATATTGCTATGGGGGTTTTGACCATCAATTTTTTTCTATTATTTGTTAAAATGGCACTTTTTAATTTTAAACCAAAGGCATTACTTTCTAATCAGGTTGATTTTATTATTTTTATACCATACTTAAGGGACTGCACTATAATTACTACCATGGCTCACAGATTCTTTCTATGACCCTCTAGTTTTTATACTAAATGTAAAACATAATTTCATTCCTTTTGAATTAATTCTCCAAATTGAAATACATTTTATATATGTAACAGAAAACACAATTCATAAACAACACAATAATGAATTATAATTTGAAATAACATAAATCTTTATTTATGATTCAAAACACAATTTCAACATAAAGGCATTGCTTTGCTATAACATTTTAGTGAAATTATATTTATGTATATATATACTAAACAGAAATTCTCACAAACTGTTTATAAAATTATGCCTTTTTAAAATGAGAAGAGTGACTAATTAAAATATGATTACCACATCCCATATGGCATATACGTTAAAAAAATTCTAAAAGTACAGCTCATGCGTGGTAGTATTTCGATTTCCTGGAATCATCACAACATGCCAACTAATATAAACTGAACACGGAACAGAAACACTAAATCAGAAATTAAAAGTGAACTTCACTTTTAGAAATACATTATTTGAACATGAACAAACACAGAATTTACATATTTTGTACACTGCTTATATACACATTATATATCAACTGTTCCCATAATAAAGAGGCACTGTAGTGGCTAAAATTATGCTTCAGGAAAAAATGATTTTTATGATCTAACGAGGATAAAAATTTCAGTAATGAATAGCAGATATGTATTAATTCTTTTGTTTGGCTGAACTCCCACTATGGTTCTGTTTGCCAAATTTGGTGACGAGTTAAAAACATTTTCTCGTTGACCCAATTTGAAACCTATAGGTGTAACTAACTGTTTTAAAGACTACTTACTTACGTAGGAGCTACACTGAGTTTTAACATAAGATTTTTACAAATTAAAAAGAATAATTAATAGATTCTACATATGCAACAAACTGCATTGTCTATACTTTAACATTTAAATTAAATTATTTTAAACATCCCCACCACATTTGGCAAGAGAGAAAATTCATTACTCACCATATTTGATGAACATGATCATTGTGGAAGTAAAGATCTTATTTAATCTGCTAAACATATATTCATCACGTTAAAAATTAAATTCTTGAAATTTGAGACAATTAAGTAGGGCTTGTCCCATGAGAAAAATAAAGCTTTTATATATGTATATATATATGTGTATTTATATATATAGATATTTTGTCACACCAATTTCATTTTCTCTCAAATATCCTCTGCAAAGTGTCTTTGGTGTTTGATATTGAGCTTAGCTTGTGGCACTTAGTCAGGCACTAACAGAAATGTATAGATACATTCTGTAGAAAATACATTTCAGTTTTTCAACAATTGTTTTAATTCTCTGTACTGGCACAATAAAAGCTCTATCACCGAAAAGGATGATAAAACTCTGTATATTTTTATAATATGTACAAAATCACTCGAGTTCTGTTACAACCAATGACTATCAGTTGATCATAGGCACATGACCAGAAATCCCATTGCAGAGAAGCCCTAGAATGAAAGCTTAAGTATTCGCAGTAGACGCTGTACCGAAAACCTTCAGATTCCAACCAGTCTGTGCTACTGGAACCTAAAAGAAATAGCATATGCATAATTTTAAGATAACTTAGTCCTAAAACAAGCTACACAAATCTAGAAAGAGCAAAAATGCTTGAGCATCATGCTGTTTAAAGCTCTTCATGCAAAAAAGTGAAATACCAGATTCTACAAATTGAATAACACATTTCAAAATCATTACGTATAATGGAAATTTTAAACTAAAAATACATTCTGATAGGATAATATTTTATCATTTCCAAGTTAAAAAAATCGAAATCTGTAATACTTTAATCATAACCTGAAAAATAGAAGTCAAATGTATAGCTCTCATTACACGTTACAATGCAACACTAAAATTACACAAATATACCGAAATATTGAGGTACAGCATCTAACATGCAATTTTGTAATGATTCAATTCATTTCTCAATATACCATTTATTTTAAATGTTTAGATCCAGGGACATTGAAATTATTTCCTTGGAACAGCCAAAGGTTATAGTAACACTTTTTTCAATTTATGTTGAAAAAACACCAAAGCAGCATGATGGTCCTTCTCTTATTTACACTGAGAAATGCCAAACCATTTTTATAAGATCAATGGATGCATTAACACGGGGTGGGTGAGGTACTTCAATACTAGTTTATATCTACCGATTCAGTTTCATTCTCTATGTATTATATTCTGAAAAGTTATAAGAGCTCTAAAATCAATTTTACACAGTTCAATATTTCAAGTTATCTATATGATAAAGATGACAATGGCATATTTTTGATATTTCAGATAGTAACAATGATTTTATGAAAATTAAATGTACAACAAAAGCTTTCTTGTCGTGGATCTTTTCAACATGAAATTTGAGCAGTGTTGTCACACTGTATTATGACTTAAACAGTTACTCACTTTTACTTTTTAATAACATTTTTTTAATTCCCCTTATAAGCTACCTTTTTATGATTTTTAATTATTCTGCTTATTTAACTGCATGAGTGAAGGCAATTTTTCTTCAAAACTTTGGACAAATAATTTAGGGTGTCAATGCCTAAAGTAGTTAAATTTAATAATATTGGATAAGTATTAATAAAAAGTATTGTAAATGCTAATAAACTGTAAATTGCCAGAATTAATATGTACTTACACAGGAAATATTCAAGTCATACACATTCTCAATTTAAGTAATATATTGAATAAAATGATTTAAATTATTCATTCATTAGCTTTATTTAAGAGTGTTGGCTTTAGTTTTCCACATGCAAATTTTGATCGGAGGTCGATCGGCGGTAAGCTAACGTGGTTGCCGCTGATTGGCCGATGACGTCAAGATCGGCGGGTTGGCCGAGTATAATATATATGTAGGCCGGTATCGGCGAATCTTGTTCTCCTTGTTCTCTTGTGTGATTATCAGTTAGCATTATGCTAGTTTTTCTTTCACTAAATGATTTTAAATGTAAAGGCTACAGTGTTAGCTCTTTTATTTTATTTACGGAATAAAGCAAGAATTTTATTTAGTTTAGTCTTAGCTTTATTTAAGGAAAGCAAAACATGCTTTGCGTTTATCGCCACTGCCAACAAAGAGAAGGAAATAAGAATAAATAAAGTTAATGAATGAATGTCTTAAGAATTTCTTTGCTGATAAGGTGCACCCGTTCACATGTGCCACAATCCTAGTTATATTTTTTACTTTTAAATTATTTCTGTTTTATTACTGAAACATTACTTTTAGCAGTAAATAAATTCACACAAGTACAACTCATCAATGGTATATGAAATAATATTTTTTCCTTCCTGTGACATCTATGAAATAACTTTGAACTAGATAAATGATACTTACTGCACATCTGGCAAAACTCCTGCATGTGCAATACATTATTTTCTATTCTTTTTACAAAAGTCACTGAACAAGAATTTGAGTAGTCAGTTTAAAACATTTCCCAAATGAATAAAAAAAAAAAAAAAAAAAAAAAAAAAAAGATTTTGCATTCTTAATATTTAGTTACTGTATCAATGTCCTGAAAAATGATCCACTTCAGCACATCAACTGTATTATTTTCTCACTTCCTGTATGCCAAACACCTAAAAATTGGTAATTTCAACTAAATGATCAATAATAAGTTATCTTGTGGCTCGCAAGTAAACTCAGTTTGCCAACTGCAAGCCCTCTCATAGATGGTAGAGAATGTGTTAAATTCCAAAAGATGTAAATGGATGGAACTTAAGCCCAAGATTTTATAAGAATGGGTATTTTATAACTTAGTTATTGAAACTGACAACTAGCTTAGGATAAGTTTTATTTGAAATGATGGTTCATTATCCGGAAAACTTTTAGAAGCATTTTAACTGGCCAGATTCACCCTTCACATTCCTCCAAAATCATATCTGAGGTCGTACATATGAATCTAAGGTAAGGGGTAATCAACAGCTATCTGGAGACAGTGCTTTTCTTCCATGTATAATTACTCAAATGTCTTATAAGATTCATTATCAATAAATATGATATGACTTCAGCATACCCTTCACAAGGCGATTATGTGAAATATACAACAAGTAATATTTCACAAAGCAACGGAAATCTACTACCAATAAATACAAAAGAAACAAATTACATTCATTCTGTTATTCTTTCAAAGCTGAGATTTAAAATGCAAAAACATCAGTGATCCAAAAAAGCATTCCTGAAGCTTTTCAATACATTTTGGAATTTTTAAGCATATCTAAAAAAGAAAGCACACAAAATCTACAAAATTTCATGCTAAGCATACGAAGAAATGCAGGGAACTAGCATAATTTTACAAAACTTATATAGCTACCATGCAACTGTATGACAATAAAACAGCCTTTCCTTTGACAATGAAGCAAAATGCTATCAAAGCAAGATGTGGATTATATGCACAGGAAGATATACCAGACTTAAATTTTACAAAGAGAGCATGCATTTCTCTGCAGCTACTGAACATGCTGGACAGATATTTTATACTTGCATGTATCAGTCTAAATTTCCACTGCTTCTTAGATAAAACAAACTTTCACATTAATGATGAGATGGACTGCTTGAATCTTCAGACATCTTTTTCTTCTTGGGTGATTTTTTAAGAAGTGATGTCAAGCATGTTTTTTCACATAGCTAATTTCAGAAAAATGCCAGCAATTCAGACAATATAAATTTTTTCTTCCATTACATTGTTTTCAATGCAAGAAAATTAGGTTAAAAATTTTATAAAAATAAATGCAACTGCGTAAAATATCTACTATTTATTCCCTACATTTTATTCTAGTTGCAAGATATAAAATATTTTTTAGTAGGAAAATTATGCATAGTTATAAAAAATCATTAGGAAAAATTTTATTAAAAAGATCAGTCAGTACATTTTATCACTTTATTTCAAACTTTGATTTGCACTCAGCATTCAGAGACTGACCACGTACCTAATACTTCCTCAGTCTACTCTTACATAAAAGATGTCTTGGAAACAACAACCCATAGATCCACCTTGTGCTGATATGTGGATCTGACCCTAAATAATCATGGCAACAACCCATTATGAGCTTATAGATGCTTGTGCATGATTCATAACTTAAGAAGTCAGTTCTACAACATACCATAGATGATGTAGGAGATAAATTTGGACAAAATTAGAAAGCCGTACGGTGCATCTTCTCAAATGTTCCTCAATCAAGAAGATTTCCTTCTTCAGAGGTATCATGCACTCTTATCCTGAAATCTGCCAGAAGTACGGCATCATGAAATATATTCCATGACACAGCATGACCCAAAGGAAGCCTTCACCATACCTCTGCCCACTTGCTCAACTTTTATCATGCCATAGCTTTAAGTTTAGCTGAAATATCCATAGCTTTAAGTTAATGGTGCCAAATGCACACACATGTCCATATGGGGTAGCCAAACTTTTGGTTTATTGGACCAATGTGACCTTTCCTGTCTTTAGTAGTTCATATCAGCATGACTATAAAATAAACTAAAAGTGAGCAACAAAAGGTAAACCTATCAAAGCTTATGTGTACTATTCTGTAAGACAGTTATGAGGATACGTGCTGCACATCCATAATAGTACCTGTCACTACTTTTATCTGTTATTGAAAAAAAGAACATCACCAGAACTGGTTGCTTAACATGTTGAGCGCCATGTCAGCCACATCTGTGGCTGATGCTAGACTTTCCGTTTAGACCGCGTCAGCCATCTGTGGCTGACACTCAGTAGCGTAGCGAGCATAACTGGCGGCGGGGGCAAAATACATTTTTAGCGCCCCCCAAAAAACACAGTAATATTATGTATAGAATATATTCATAATAATGCAAATAATAAAATGCTGAATCTGCCATAAAATACTCTAAAATATATTGTTTTGTTATTTTCTTCCTTCGTGTTCGTACGAGGCTCGCGTCGATTTGGAGTGAATAACGACGACAGTACTTGATGGAATATTGAAACATACTTTATTTACCAATATTAATCAGGACAGCTCCAAAACATTTTTACAGTCGTCGAATATCTACTATAAACACGCTGGAACAATCAGCGGCACAGCCTTCACACTGTCAGGCAATAACGGCGGAGACAGCTTCACAGCAAAGCTCCCGAGTCTGCTCGGTTGTTCTCGACTCTCCACGCTACAACTCACGATGCACTCGACAACACACAGAGCACAGCTCCCGACTTTTTGGTTCAGTCGTTCCCGGAGCACAACACACTCTCTCGATGATGCACTAACTGTGATACACTAAAAGATTCTTTCGGTGCACTCGACAACCCACTCTGCACTCGCTGACCGACTGTCAACTCAATCGACTCCGCACGGACTAACTGACAAGACACGCTAACTGACTGACTGCGGACCAGCACTGTTTATATAGCTTTCAGCTTACATTCTGGGCTAAACTGGTAAGAATTCGTTCCAGAGGGTTCTCCATCCGTCCATGGCATATCACCAATTTTGTCACCAAATGAGCGATTTATCACCAAATGTGGCAGCCCTGCCTTCCCTGCTACTTTATGGCAACCCTAAACTGCTTTTCGAGGAAGTCATCTTACCGCGCCTGTATATTTCGTAACAATATTGTTAAGAATAGTCACCACACCTAACTACACTAACATTGGATTCGGAAATATATGTGTCGGCGGAAAAATCACACATACCGTCTTTTTCCGAAAATAAGACACTGTCTTACTTTTTTTTGGTCCAAAATACGCGCTAGGGCATATTTTCGGGAAAGGGCAAAAATAAAAGTATATTTATAAATTTTTATTTAATATTTATTTTACACAGAATACAGAAATTTAAATTTATTCAATTACAGTCATGTCATCTTCTGGAACATCGTCATAAATAAAATTCTGAATTACAATCTGATTTTCTTCCAAATCCATTTCCTGTTGAATCATTAGTCCGAATCTCTCATGTCTTGCGATATAGCTATCGTCGCTGTGTCGTATGCGTCTTGGAGGTTATGGTTCAGCCCAAATTTCACCCCGACGAGAGTCTGCTGATGCTAACGGATGACGATGCCTTTCCTGTGAATGTATCTCTCTCGGCGCAAACAGTGAACTGGTTAAGATAAATTCCAAGAATTAATTTGAAACGAACTGTAGAGATAAAGAATTAATTTCTCGGAATATTTTGTTTCAAACATTTCTCTGAAATAAGAGTATTAGGAAAGCTAAACCTATTATTACTTAATAAATCAATAGCATTTTTTAACGAATTCTTTTTGTCACATTATTTTAACTAGGAATTTTTTTCAGGGGATGTCTTATGTTACAAAAAGTTCCGAAAATCACAATAGGGCTTATTTTCAGAGGATGTCTTATTTTAAAAGAAAAAACTTAAAAAGTTCCGAAAACACGATAGGGCTTATTTTTGGAGGATGTCTTATTTCAGAAAAAGACGGTACGATGATTTAGAATTAGTTAAAAAGGTATTATCTATTTCACATATTTGTATAATTGTTTTTAAAAAAGTACAATTTTTAAATAATTAAAAGTTTAATATATATTATAGATACGTAGATATATTTATTAATAATAATATAATACATTAATACAATTAATTACTATGCATGCATTTTTCTTGCCATTGGATGAAGCAAATTTATCAATTACTTCATCATAGTCGATCATTTCAAATTTTTCTCTTTCCACATTTAAAAATGCTAGATGACTTAGGGGATCTTGTCCCATTGTTGATTATAAATATATCAAAATTCATTTTAATTTTTTGAACAAACGTTCATAGCTAGAATTTGATAATGAAATAGTAAGGAATATTTGAAATGCATCTTTTAGGTTTGGAAAACCATTTTCTCTGTAGATCTGTAATAGAGTTTTAGATTTAGTGTCTTTTCTACTGCGGAGTAACATTTTACAGTCACATTCCCTGCTCAAAACAATTAGAGGATATTATTATGGTATAAAAGAACCATATAATCGACAACCTTTTTAACAGAATGAAATAGAAGAGATCATAAAGGAAAATTATAACGTTTACGAAGTTGGGAGTGTGCAAATTTAGTCTGTGACGGTGAAAACTGTGCGTTTTAGATAAGGAGTAAAGAGCGACATGCAGTATTCCTTTTGTAGAAGGAGATTAAAACAAGTGACACGCTTTGAATGCTTTGGAGTAGTGAATATACGATGTCTCAGCAAGATTACTAATCGGTAGAATCAGTAGCCAGGAAGGCCATCAGTCGTTTACAGGAGAGTCAAACACAATCCATTCTAGTGGAAGCTTTAGGAGTTTCCCAAAACGTCATTTCCAGATTATGGAATCGGTTTTTCGAAACTGTGTATATTTGAGAAATTCGGAACAATGTCGTGTTATCGTTTAAAAACAAAAAGCGGAAGCTATACGTGCATTACGGTAAAAAAGAAAAAATAAATAAATAAAAATAAAAATAAAAAATAAAAATAGAGAAATACCCTCTTGACTCCACAGGTCCACATATGTGGACCTTCAATTTTGCAATGCTGGAAATATTCCAGTACACTTTTACTCTATTGTAACTCGATTACCACGTACTGGGGATGTTTCAGCTTTTCATTTTTACCAATGGATGGCAGAGCAGGTGCATACTTTTGAAGAAATCAGAGCTACAAGCGGATTGTTTTGCAAAAATGGCGCCGTCGAAAAGTCTTCGAAAACGTAAGTAATAATTAATTAATTAATAATTTAATTAATGTTTAAAGTGAATATTTAAAGCTATTTAGGTTCAAGCTTTTGTTTAACGTTGTTGTTTGTGTCAAACTCATTTTTTGTGGCAATGCATTGAAATGTGTATAGGTCCATATACAAGACGTCAGTCCATTAGGGAAATTAGGCTCAGTTGGATACTGTCATACGTTTTTTTAATATTACATAATTTCAGTTACTGTTTCTGAAGTTTATGTTTTATAAACAGCTCACTGATGGCATAACTGATTATATACATATAGTATGTAACTGTAATCTTAAATTATTTGTATTTTACAGGGTTTTTTTACCCTTTTCTCGTTTTATTTTTGAATTAAAATATAATATTCATAATATTGGACTTCTACTCTTCATATTCTGTGACCCATTAAAATAAAGACAATGCATAGCTATTACTGACCTGATTTTATATTTTTAATGTAATTTATTGTTTGTAATTTCTTTGTTATTTCATGTTATTAGTTGTAACTGATAGTAACTCAAGTTAACATGCTTGCAGGATGACTTTTAGAATGCTCCAGAGCTTTTTTTCACCCTTGGCCTTCGTGTTTTGAATACCTGAGCGTGGAATGTTTTGAAGAAGTAGCTGCCCAAACTAATTTGTAGTCTGTTCATCAGAAATATAAATCTGTAAACACGAACGCAAATGAAATAATGCCACTTGTTGATCTCAATACTTGGATGGAAACACTGAAATTCCCTCAAGCAGAATTATATTAGTCACGAAACCTATCACTAAGATGTTTTCATGAAACAATGGCAAGAGACAGACAGACTATTCACTCAGCCCCAAAAATTTTCATTTTGCAGCTAATTTAGCATTCCATGAAAATGATGATAAACTTTGGAAAGTACAAACCTTTTTAAATCCCATCAAGGAAAAATGCCTTATTTTGCCTTGACCGCAAAACATTACTT